CACTGACGAAACATTAACCCCCTTTAGATAAAAACTTACATTATTATAATTGGCAAAATTAAAAAACAAAAAACTCGAGCTCTAAATGTAGGCAATTTTTGAGGTTCAGGCAATCATTTTGCAACCGTCTTCTACTTTTCCTGAAATGGACAATTTCAGATCGTCAGAAGAAGACAATCACTTAATCACAAACGGTTTTCAGAAGACTGGAAACATAATAAGTAATATTTTACTGCATTTAAAGGAACAGTTTTCAAACGAATCTTTTGAGACGCCGGAAAGAAATACTGACACCTCTGTGAAGCATCACTGACGAAACATTAACCCCCTTTAGATAAAAACTTACATTATTATAATTGGCAAAATTAAAAAACAAAAAACTCGAGCTCTAAATGTAGGCAATTTTTGAGGTTCAGGCAATCATTTTGCAACCGTCTTCTACTTTTCCTGAAATGGACAATTTCAGATCGTCAGAAGAAGACAATCACTTAATCACAAACGGTTTTCAGAAGACTGGAAACATAATAAGTAATATTTTACTGCATTTAAAGGAACAGTTTTCAAACGAATCTTTTGAGACGCCGGAAAGAAATACTGACACCTCTGTGAAGCATCACTGACGAAACATTAACCCCCTTTAGATAAAAACTTACATTATTATAATTGGCAAAATTAAAAAACAAAAAACTCGAGCTCTAAATGTAGGCAATTTTTGAGGTTCAGGCAATCATTTTGCAACCGTCTTCTACTTTTCCTGAAATGGACAATTTCAGATCGTCAGAAGAAGACAATCACTTAATCACAAACGGTTTTCAGAAGACTGGAAACATAATAAGTAATATTTTACTGCATTTAAAGGAACAGTTTTCAAACGAATCTTTTGAGACGCCGGAAAGAAATACTGACACCTCTGTGAAGCATCACTGACGAAACATTAACCCCCTTTAGATAAAAACTTACATTATTATAATTGGCAAAATTAAAAAACAAAAAACTCGAGCTCTAAATGTAGGCAATTTTTGAGGTTCAGGCAATCATTTTGCAACCGTCTTCTACTTTTCCTGAAATGGACAATTTCAGATCGTCAGAAGAAGACAATCACTTAATCACAAACGGTTTTCAGAAGACTGGAAACATAATAAGTAATATTTTACTGCATTTAAAGGAACAGTTTTCAAACGAATCTTTTGAGACGCCGGAAAGAAATACTGACACCTCTGTGAAGCATCACTGACGAAACATTAACCCCCTTTAGATAAAAACTTACATTATTATAATTGGCAAAATTAAAAAACAAAAAACTCGAGCTCTAAATGTAGGCAATTTTTGAGGTTCAGGCAATCATTTTGCAACCGTCTTCTACTTTTCCTGAAATGGACAATTTCAGATCGTCAGAAGAAGACAATCACTTAATCACAAACGGTTTTCAGAAGACTGGAAACATAATAAGTAATATTTTACTGCATTTAAAGGAACAGTTTTCAAACGAATCTTTTGAGACGCCGGAAAGAAATACTGACACCTCTGTGAAGCATCACTGACGAAACATTAACCCCCTTTAGATAAAAACTTACATTATTATAATTGGCAAAATTAAAAAACAAAAAACTCGAGCTCTAAATGTAGGCAATTTTTGAGGTTCAGGCAATCATTTTGCAACCGTCTTCTACTTTTCCTGAAATGGACAATTTCAGATCGTCAGAAGAAGACAATCACTTAATCACAAACGGTTTTCAGAAGACTGGAAACATAATAAGTAATATTTTACTGCATTTAAAGGAACAGTTTTCAAACGAATCTTTTGAGACGCCGGAAAGAAATACTGACACCTCTGTGAAGCATCACTGACGAAACATTAACCCCCTTTAGATAAAAACTTACATTATTATAATTGGCAAAATTAAAAAACAAAAAACTCGAGCTCTAAATGTAGGCAATTTTTGAGGTTCAGGCAATCATTTTGCAACCGTCTTCTACTTTTCCTGAAATGGACAATTTCAGATCGTCAGAAGAAGACAATCACTTAATCACAAACGGTTTTCAGAAGACTGGAAACATAATAAGTAATATTTTACTGCATTTAAAGGAACAGTTTTCAAACGAATCTTTTGAGACGCCGGAAAGAAATACTGACACCTCTGTGAAGCATCACTGACGAAACATTAACCCCCTTTAGATAAAAACTTACATTATTATAATTGGCAAAATTAAAAAACAAAAAACTCGAGCTCTAAATGTAGGCAATTTTTGAGGTTCAGGCAATCATTTTGCAACCGTCTTCTACTTTTCCTGAAATGGACAATTTCAGATCGTCAGAAGAAGACAATCACTTAATCACAAACGGTTTTCAGAAGACTGGAAACATAATAAGTAATATTTTACTGCATTTAAAGGAACAGTTTTCAAACGAATCTTTTGAGACGCCGGAAAGAAATACTGACACCTCTGTGAAGCATCACTGACGAAACATTAACCCCCTTTAGATAAAAACTTACATTATTATAATTGGCAAAATTAAAAAACAAAAAACTCGAGCTCTAAATGTAGGCAATTTTTGAGGTTCAGGCAATCATTTTGCAACCGTCTTCTACTTTTCCTGAAATGGACAATTTCAGATCGTCAGAAGAAGACAATCACTTAATCACAAACGGTTTTCAGAAGACTGGAAACATAATAAGTAATATTTTACTGCATTTAAAGGAACAGTTTTCAAACGAATCTTTTGAGACGCCGGAAAGAAATACTGACACCTCTGTGAAGCATCACTGACGAAACATTAACCCCCTTTAGATAAAAACTTACATTATTATAATTGGCAAAATTAAAAAACAAAAAACTCGAGCTCTAAATGTAGGCAATTTTTGAGGTTCAGGCAATCATTTTGCAACCGTCTTCTACTTTTCCTGAAATGGACAATTTCAGATCGTCAGAAGAAGACAATCACTTAATCACAAACGGTTTTCAGAAGACTGGAAACATAATAAGTAATATTTTACTGCATTTAAAGGAACAGTTTTCAAACGAATCTTTTGAGACGCCGGAAAGAAATACTGACACCTCTGTGAAGCATCACTGACGAAACATTAACCCCCTTTAGATAAAAACTTACATTATTATAATTGGCAAAATTAAAAAACAAAAAACTCGAGCTCTAAATGTAGGCAATTTTTGAGGTTCAGGCAATCATTTTGCAACCGTCTTCTACTTTTCCTGAAATGGACAATTTCAGATCGTCAGAAGAAGACAATCACTTAATCACAAACGGTTTTCAGAAGACTGGAAACATAATAAGTAATATTTTACTGCATTTAAAGGAACAGTTTTCAAACGAATCTTTTGAGACGCCGGAAAGAAATACTGACACCTCTGTGAAGCATCACTGACGAAACATTAACCCCCTTTAGATAAAAACTTACATTATTATAATTGGCAAAATTAAAAAACAAAAAACTCGAGCTCTAAATGTAGGCAATTTTTGAGGTTCAGGCAATCATTTTGCAACCGTCTTCTACTTTTCCTGAAATGGACAATTTCAGATCGTCAGAAGAAGACAATCACTTAATCACAAACGGTTTTCAGAAGACTGGAAACATAATAAGTAATATTTTACTGCATTTAAAGGAACAGTTTTCAAACGAATCTTTTGAGACGCCGGAAAGAAATACTGACACCTCTGTGAAGCATCACTGACGAAACATTAACCCCCTTTAGATAAAAACTTACATTATTATAATTGGCAAAATTAAAAAACAAAAAACTCGAGCTCTAAATGTAGGCAATTTTTGAGGTTCAGGCAATCATTTTGCAACCGTCTTCTACTTTTCCTGAAATGGACAATTTCAGATCGTCAGAAGAAGACAATCACTTAATCACAAACGGTTTTCAGAAGACTGGAAACATAATAAGTAATATTTTACTGCATTTAAAGGAACAGTTTTCAAACGAATCTTTTGAGACGCCGGAAAGAAATACTGACACCTCTGTGAAGCATCACTGACGAAACATTAACCCCCTTTAGATAAAAACTTACATTATTATAATTGGCAAAATTAAAAAACAAAAAACTCGAGCTCTAAATGTAGGCAATTTTTGAGGTTCAGGCAATCATTTTGCAACCGTCTTCTACTTTTCCTGAAATGGACAATTTCAGATCGTCAGAAGAAGACAATCACTTAATCACAAACGGTTTTCAGAAGACTGGAAACATAATAAGTAATATTTTACTGCATTTAAAGGAACAGTTTTCAAACGAATCNAGGAGAGAGACAGATGTCGAACGCTGCCGAACGCGGAGGCCGGTTGTGCCTCTTTGTCGCTCGTTCCGCGCTCTCGCTTGCACTTCAAGCCTTAAATGGAACGCCTTAGAGCAAGGTAACGTCGCATGAGTCATGTTTTTTCGTGCGTGCAGCCGGCTCCATCGAATTATAAGACGTTGTCACGTCAAAAAGACTTTTTTCTGATTTGTAGTTCTTTTCTTTTATTGAATTTACAAACACTCCCTAGCCGGAAATAAGAAAATTACTTTAATTGCTTCCTTTTCACTACAAAATAGAAATCCTGACTTTCTTTGTCGATGGACTCGTGTGGCTATCGCTTAGTTATCGTCTCGTACCGACATCTATAACACTCGTTCTTACATGAATGCGTCATTGTCAAATAATTCGCCTCCTACGACACACGTATCATATGATTTACCACTATTTCTCTCGCTTTATGTATCATTATCAGAAGTAACAAATTACTATCGTCGCAAAGAAAAAAAGAAGTAAATTCTGAATTTTTTGCTATTTAGGAATAACAGTACATTTTTATAAAAATATATCCTAAAAGAATTTCAAGTAGTATAAAGAAAACGTTTAATTAGTTTGTTTACGATATTATAGATTGATAAAGTTAATTACTAGAAAAGTAATAAGAGCAAAGATAAAATATATCTTATGCAACTTAACATGCAGATACATTTCTTTATCTTTTTTCTTAACTCAGAATAAAGTTGCTCTTATATAAATAAAATTTAGGAAAAAAGCTTATTGGAAAGTTGCCAGTGCTACAGAATGGGTGCCAAAAAAGTGATTGCGTTGCTGTTTACGGTGTTAGAACTGTAAGTTTCTTTTTCAAGGTTAACTTATCAAGACGGCGTTTAATATACAGACCTAAATTCAACAATTAAAACAAGAAATTATGAGATACGACGATAACAAATTAGGCTTCATTTTTGTAAATTGATATTGATATTTTAGCCCTTCAGTCAGGAAATATTTACTCTCAGAGTCGTCTTAAAGCATTAATGCTTCACATTTGATAAGAATTCTGAATGTGGCCCTTGGCCAACGATTTTAATAAAGTTTATTATTAATAGTGTAGCAAAATTAATTATTTAAAAATCTAAAAATAAGTAACCCTCTTTTGTACATATCTTCCTGTTACATTCCTNCTTATTGGTTGGATAGTGGAAAGGTGTGGTGAAATGTCATAAATTGGGATAACCAAAAAGATGTTCCTCTGATTCATACTAAATAGTACAGTGAAATCGTTGTTTTAGTCGTTATTGTTCGTGATTTTTTGTTAAATATTAAATATTTTATTTCTGCTATAAATAATACTGCAAGGGTAAGTTTTAGTAAAATGTTTGTTATTTTTACATTAAGAACTTATCAATGTTACAAAAAATTCTTCTGTACATTGAACTTTTAACTGTTCAGATCATATCAATATTTGAATTTAATAAACTATTATTATAGACGATAGTCAGGTAATCTGTTTGTATAGGCTTTCAGGATCACAACAGATGTTTGTATCACAGGAAATTAGGTTTTTCTAATAGCAAACTTTCCTGTCATTAAAATGAAATTACAATTGCTTTCTTCTACTTGAACACAGCAGGACATACGATTCAATACTCCCAAATTTACATTTTATTCTGGTTCTATTGTTCTGCCTTATCTCTACCTATTTATGTCTTCATGCAATAGATTCTTGTAAATTTGTAATCGCTTATGTACAGATACATATGTACAATACATACTGTTGTTCCACCACTCACCTTTTCCACCCTCCCTATCCCCACACAATCACTCATCTTAAATTATATATTTGTTTGTAAATATGAGAGACGGCAGTCTTGATCCAGCCTTCAACGAATAAATTGGTAATTAGACATTTGTATTTTTTATTTTGCACTTTTCATCATCATCATAATAATTTTTATTGTACTTTGTGTGTAACTCGAACTTGATTCGAAAATTAAATTCTCCCGAACTTTTGAGAATTAAAACATTATGTGTGGGTATATTTTTTGGGACGGAGTATGTAAAGCAAAATCCGTCGTGCGTTCCAAAGTTTGGGAACATCTCGGAACATTTTGGAATGTTCGGAAATAATCTGGAATGTCCCAGATGATTGTGGAACGTTCAGAACACACTCGAATGTGTAGAAAGCCTTTGTCGAATGGGTGGAATTACCTTTGTACCTCTTAAATTTTAAAGTTTATCCTTTTAGTCCAACTACCACACAATCTCATATCAACTTCCTGAGCTGAGTATCCCAGCTAGTAATAAAGCAAGTGTATATTTACACGTGCAACATGTTTATGTTTACAGGTGGTATGCAAAGCGTTGGCATAATTTATGTTGTATTTGCATAGCCAAGGTCTTCAAAGATCACCTGCGTGTTCTCTCGTCTGTCACATGTCTCGATTAATTACCGTGGAGCAATTAAACGTAATGGACGGTCGGTGATTTGGGGTGCAAACGTCAATTAATCAAGTGGAACTGGACAGTTTTGAGGGTTGACGTATCTTATGTCTTAAGCCAATTACGACACTTCAGATCTCAGACATCGCATTAGGGACAACTTTACTGTTAGTTTGGGACAGTTTATTAATAGCTAATTAGAAGGATTATAACGTACAGTTGGGGAGTGTCGTGATGTTGGGTGAAATAGGTACAAAAGAGGTTTCATTTTTTCTGTGTGTAGGTACCAACATGAGTTGCATACATCTCCTTTCCTTAATATAGCAAAAGATGCAACAACATTACATATGCATATAGGATGTAAATGTAGGTAAGTAAATAAGTAACAAAGTTTCAGGAGGCGATAGGGCACTCATCATCATAAGGCCATTAGCCCTAGAACTGATTAGACATGCACCTCCACTTTTTTCTGTTCATAGGGTGAAAAAAAAGAAAATTAAGTAAATGTTTGTATGTCCGAAAGTTTACCGTTTTCAAGAGAACTGGGTGAAGTTCTAGAAGATAAGGGGGTGGGGTGATCGAAAGAGGAGATCTCCCCCACCACTGTACCATAAAAAGTTCATGGCGGTCTCACCCCCATAAAAAGTTATGGGGGTTCAAAGTTAATAAATGCACCAATTTTTATACATTTCTAGGCATGTAAATATTTATGTGGTCATTCATAAACAATATTCAAAAGTAAAACTAATGAAAAATACATAAAAATATTGAGAAAGTTAT